TAGTTGCTGCCAGAGTCACAGTGGATGACTCTGCTTAGTACTTAACTGTTTAAAAAAGCCTCTAAAAAACGCCCTCTACAGGAGGAAGCAGGAGAACCATGTGCCTCATCTACATCAGGAATTTTTCAGCTTTTAACCCTCTGTTCGAGTGATCATAAAGTCAGACTAGTTGAGGCACGTGGTTCTCCTGCCTCCTCCTGTAGAGGGCACTTTTTTAAGAGGCTTTTTTAAACAGTTAAGCACTAAGCAGAGTCATCCACTGTGACTCTGGCAGCAACTAGCTCAGCCTTTTTCCTTTTATTTATTTATTTTTCTTTTCATGATGACAGTGGTGAGGCTCTGCCTCCCCTGCCTCCCCTGACTGCACGTCACTGGTCATAAGTCACTTTTTTCAGTGCCGTTTTAACTTCAAACAGTCATTAAATGAACTGTTGCAAATCAAGCACTACCAGTATTACCTCCTAAATGAAATTTTAATGATGCTATGCAATGTTTCTGATTACACTTTTCAAACTACCTGATGTGAAAGCATGACTGTAGCCTTAAAAGATAAAAGACAGAATAAGGAAATAAACAAATAAATAAACAAACTGCAGATTCACTTTGACTTGCCCCAGCATGTAGTCTCCTGTTGTTATTTACACTTCTTCACAAAGTACTCCCAGTGCTGATTTCTCCCACGGGGTCCCAGAGAAAAGTAAATATGAAACATGAAACCACTTGGGGTTGAGGAAACATAGAAACAGATGTGGTGGATTTGAAATTGCAAATAATTGTAATCAGGGGGATAATTAACCCTCTTTTTTCCCCAGCTGACTTACCTTTAAAGGTTTCTCCTTGTGTGGCTACATCACATAAAAAAAGCAAAATGCAAGGGATTTATTGTACATGTTTACATGAAACTTGTCATTTGAACTTAAATCTTGCTTATAGAAAAGAGAAAGCAACAGACTGGTTTTCAGAAAAGATTAAATATTATGCCTATGTCACTCTCCCCACAAATTAGTTATCTTTATCTTTCTTTAAGGTCATTAAATACCACTAAATACTCCAAGTTACTATTTGTTTATTTTTCTATTGCCTATACAGTATATCACAGAGAAAATTACTGCCAAACTAATTAACATAAAAATTTATATGCAGCGACATTACCAACCTTATAGCATAGCATCAATATTAATCATCATTATAATAATAATAAAAAGAAAGAGAAATAAAGTATTATTCGTTAACAGCATGCACTCTTGGGTTTCTTTTAACTGCAGTCTCATTGTGTTTTATATTGCTTTGGCGGTGGGGTGATAAGTCAAGTAACTCTACAGTTCATTTTTGCCTTTGGCAAGAGAGTTGAATTAAGCTCAGGGAAGATGGTTGTATAACGTGTAAGGAATTGTTACGCAATCAGAAGAAAAGATCAGCCTTCCTCTTTCTGCTCCCTGGTAAAAAAAAATTAATCATCTACCTTTCAGAATGTAAAGGATAAAATATGATGTGTACCTTGTCTTCAATTAGTGTTAATTGTTTTGGCGGGACTTTTCCATGTACAAAAGTGTTTTACAATTAAATTCTCATTTGTCCTCCCAGCTCTCTGAAAGGTTTAATGAGAAAGTGTAACCTGTTTCTAGGATGTATTGCTTAATTTTGCCCCTTTTTCTCTCTACACCCACCTTTTATACATTTCTCTTGCTTTCTATTTCAAGTAGGATGAAAACAGGTGGGGGAGAAAATCTCAAAAAAGTTCACTTTGGATGGATTAAATCATACGTGAAATCCTTATACTTATATCAAGATTGTTCCACTACTTCCAACCAGAATATTTAACCATTTACAAACATTTAACCTGGGACCAAAGCATATCTCCATTCAATATCCAAAATTATTTTTGGCCTTTAAGAGAAAGCAAATTTAAGATAGGATGGGGTAAAAATTTGCCAAAATCACAGATTCAAAATTAAAAAATTCATTGTAGATCTGGACATTGAAATCCAACCAACATTATTCAGCTCAATGGCAAGAAATGGAGGATTCTTCACTTAGATAGGAAAAACCAGAGAATAAAGTACAAATAGATGTCTATGGAGATAGTCATCCAGGTCTTGGTTGTCCCAAAGGTACTTTTTCAAGAGGCAACTGGACTTTGTTTTTTCTTTGAAGACATTTTGCTTTTCATCCAAGAAGCTTCTTCAGCTCTGACTGGATGG